CTGCCATGGGGAGGGACACCTTCAACTTGACCAAACAGGTTTCTCGAAGCACCATATATAGCATATGAGTGGGTTAGCCATTCTGGCCTGAGAATGGGTTTCCTGACTGCCTCACAGGGACCTGTACTGATACACCATCTTTGGCTGCCTGTTGGGAAGCAGAACCTGCAGTGAAGCACTTCCAGAGAAACCTCCAAGATGCAAGAGCACCAGGGCTGAAACACAGCAACTGCTGGCAATGGAGACGTGTTTGCCTAAAACTTCTAAGCTGTGCTTTATTTTGTGCTGTTTGAACAACTGCCTTCTCAACATCTTCGCAGCTTCAAAGGCAAATGACATTGCAAAGTCTCTGTTGTATTTCTATTTCTCAGTTGTAGGAAAATGTTGGTGATCGTGTTTCAGTGCTCATCAGGGCTATAGTTCCCATTTTATGCAGCCAAGGTAAGAAAATCTAGCTAGATGTTAGCTTTGAAAGCATGAGCTATTCTCTTTATTTGAATAATTATAATTATGGGCCTTGCTCTGTGTCAACTTTTCAGTATTTTTGTCCACCAGAGCCACATAAAAAAGTAAACTGAGTTTGCAGAAAAGTCAGCTCTGAAAGCGCCTACTGGCTTCTAGTAGAGTGCTTAAGCAGCTGCTGTAGCATTTGGAAACTCTGCATTAATAGCACATCATGTAACCAAGGAGCTTATATGCCTGGGGGCCAGCCAGGCCAGGCCACCTTTCCTTCACCTTGCCTGTAGGAAATCTCAATATACCGCTGTATAACAGGCAGGGAAAGGAGAGATTAGAGAATTACATGTAGACAGATGTCTAAGAGATCATTTATAACTTACTTTACAGTCATTCCTGGTTGTAAGGCTTTGCATTCCTGAAGAGCTAGAAAGAAGCTTCAAAATTATCATTCTGCCTTGCTTAGCACCTCAAGAAATCAGAGAACTGCTGGCCTACAAATTGCTCCACTTGCACTTGTTCCCATATAACCTTAATTAATGTAGTGATAACATGCCTGAGATAGCTAATACAGTGAATGGGGGAGAGCTCCACGAGTACAGCAGAAGACCTTGATTTAGTGCCTGGTTTGATTAAACTACTGGAGTAATCTTATCTGAGACTGATGTCTTACAGTCTTTGCTTTTCTATAAATAACACAGGGAAGTTTGTCCATGGCAGAATTAGTCTTTCACTATATGCTTGCCCAGGGAGCACTAAGGAGATAGGAACTGAAAATAATGGGAGCAACACACATGCTTTTGCACAGGTCCTGAGAAGCAATACATCTGAGGGACTGAGGTCTCTAAACGTGTTCAAGGTTGTAATGAAAAATTACATGCTACAAGCCTAATTCTTAAATCTGCCAGCTGTGCATGCACTGTGTGTGGTGGTTTTCATTCTTTCCGGAAAATTATTTGATTTCATATTTAAAATGGAGACTTAATGTAGCTGTGTGAAAATGTTAGAGACAGTTCCAAAGAAAATTACCATTCTGCTATTACTGAATTTTCCTAATTAAGTTTCTGTGTTTAGGATCAATATATTCAGCAAAAGATGGTGTAGGTTCCTCTGTGATATGGAAGTGCAGCAGTACCACTAGATGGTAGCGTTGCTTACTTCAGTCACCTCTTTCCTACTTCCCGCTGCAGCGAGAGAAACTATCCCTCTACATGGACTAACCCGTAATTAAAAAGCTGGTATATAGAAAAAAGCAGAGGGAGAACCTATGAACTTCTGAGAGCACACTCGGAGGCATAGTCAGTCCTGACACGGGGCCTGCAGACCCTTGCAGCACCAAGGGTCAGTTGCAGAGTGTTACTTGCCAATGGAGACTCCTATGGACTGTCATTCCTTGTTCCTAAGTCAGATAGACTTGAACCAAAACAAATTTGCAGTCAATAGTTCCCATACAGGAACAGCAAGATGATAATGAAATTCTTTTGGTATGAGCTGATAACATAGAAAGGCCTCTTTTTTTTTCCCCCATGTTGTTCATAAATACTATTTCACAAGATATTTGTGTCTTAAGTGCAGAACATGAGGTGCTCAGTATTCAGTTCTTCGAGGCCACAACTGCAGAAACTGTTTCATTGAACTGGAAGAGTTAACACAATGGATTGCTTTAAACCAAGAATTAGACTTCAATTATCCTTGTGGGTCCCTTGCAACTCAGGATATTCTGTGATTCTATGAAGTACTTGATGAGACTTGCTGAGCCTAGGTAAGCAGCGTATCTACCTGGAAATGTTTCCAAGAAGTGAATGTCCTGAGCGGCTGTCCATTTAGGACATGAAATTCCTTACTTAGATTCCTCAACACTTCATTTTTATGACTCTGCTTACTACACTGCAATCCAAAGTGCATTATATAGACTATGTAACTAAATGTTAATCATAATTCTAACCACATAGTGATTAGATTGATTCTAACCACAATGCAGGATTATTACAGTTCTCATTAAAGGAACGTGAATTTCTGAGTATCTTGCCTGGACATTTCTGTCAGAGAAATATATTAATAGGTTATTCACTAATAATCTTCGTAACCCAATACTTGCCTTTTATGTCTTCAGTAGATGTAGTGCATATTCCAGGGAAAGTTCTGTTCCAGTATGCTGTCAAAGCATAAAAGCTTTCCCTCCTGCTGGATGATGTGCTTTATTGAAGAGAGAAGCATCCTGTTTTGAAAATGCTGAAATTTGATCAATCACCTTTGGATGTCTCAGGAGGTCATCAGTCCTTCTTGATCACGATGACATGTTTTTATTACAGATCACTATAACTATTTGAAGGCTTTTTTGGACCATCATCGTAGTTTTTAATCTAAAAATATAAATTAAAACCTGAGTTTTAGTTTATAAAAGTGTTGCATTTTTAAAACAAATTAGAAGATTAAATCATGTCCAATTTTAAGACAAATGGAGAAATGTGGGTACCACTACACACAAGAACAATATATTTAATAGCAAGCTATTAAGTATTTAAGTATAATTTCCAGGTGTTTTGCTCTGCATTATTACATCTTTGCCTAATCATTGTACATCTTCACCTAATTGTTGTTTCTTTTTGTTCATCAATGTAGTGCTTATAATTACAAATATTTTTTTCTGTTCTTTAGGCTGCTAGGTGTCAATATAATCTTCTAAGACCATAAAATATTTCTAATTAAAGATGCTATATTCCTATTCATCTTAATGATTCCTTTAATTATTCTCAGTTCATGAGTGTTCTGCCATTCTCAGGAGCAGAGTTGTAAAGCCAGGGAACAAAATACTGAAGAAGGTTCTGTAATGCATAGGAAAAATCATCTTTTGCAGATAAACAGATTTGCCATTATAAATTGTGTGATAAATTTTAAAGTAGACTTGGGCACTTCAATAGGACTACTAAATGTGTTTTAATTTATGAGAAAATGAGACTGCCCATTTTATTATTGTAATAGATTTCTTTGATCTCTTTGTACCTCTTTGGTCACTGCAATACAACACCATTTTACTGCTGATTATTTTGCATCTGCTGTTCCAGGGACTTCCTAAGATTGTTAGAAGGTGTAGCAGTAAAAGGTCTGTTAGCATTTACATGCTTTCCACAGAACTATCATCCCATGTTGAATTTTTGCTTTAGCAATGAGCAGTTTCTTCCTCTGTAATCTCAAAAACCTATCTTGACAGACAGAGAATATCCCACATATTTGGAAGGCTTTAAACAGAAATATCTTTCTATGGGTGTGTTCTTTTAAGCCTCACTACTAACTGTCCAGGACATTGCTGTGATTCTCTATTCATCCATCTTGAGATGTGCCTAAGGATTTACTCTCAACTTTAACCCTGTAGTACTACAAGCAGGTTAGAGCAGTGAAGTTTCCTGGCCTGGTCCTTTACTTGTTTGTTTTCTGCACATGAGAACGCTCCATTTCTTTTCATTCACACTGGTTACCTGAGTTTTGAGACCCACCAGAACACCGCTACTTGGAACACTATGCTGGTTTCAAGCACACTCCATTATTCCACTAGAGGGGTTTGCTAATGTTTACCAGCCACGTGAGTGTTTAACTGACACCCGTGTTGCTACTTGGAGTCCATATCCAGTGTGAAAAACAACATACCATAGAAACATACAATTGTTAAGGTTGCAAAAGACCTCTAAAATCATGAAGTCCAGCCATTACCCTGACACTGCTAAGTCCACAACTATACTATGTCCCCAAGTACTACAGCTATACATCCTTTTAAGTACCTCCAGGATCGGTGATCCTACCACTTTCCTGGGCAGTTATTCCAACGCCTGACCACACTTCTAGTGAAGAAATTTTCCCTAATGTCCAATAAAAACCTCCCCTACTGCAACTTGAGGCTCTTTCCTCTTGTTCTATTGCTTTTTACCTCAGAGAAGAGACCAATCTCCTCCTGTATACAACCTCCTTTCAGATAGCTGTAGAGAGCAATAAGGTCTTCTAGGTGAGCTTCCAAACCTTCTTGGCTGTCTACCTCTCTGGCTCTCATTATTGCTGGAGGAGCGTTGGAATACAGCAGGTGGCATTTTTGGGAGCGTAATTGCCACTGTCTCATCTTGATATGGGCATTACTACATTTGCCAAGCAAAAGCCAGACCCTTCTTTTCCCCTAAGGAGAAAAAACGATTTTTTCTTTTTTTTTTTTTTTTTTTCAGGGGTAAACCTGCCTTACACACAATCCCTACTCCTTCACAGAAGGACATCTGCTCTGGAGGCTGCCAGGGAGCTGTTGACTAAGAGCCCCAATGCTGCTCCGCCGAGACACCGCGAGTCTGAGGTCTGGCGGGAGTCCGGGGCGGGCGCGAGGTCTGGCGAGGGTGAGGCGGGGCTGGAGCGGGGGCTGGCAGCGGGCACGGGCACACACACAACGCGGCTCCCCGCCCGGCCGGCTCCCTGCGGGCCGCGGCTTTGGGCGGTGGCCGGGGCGGAGGGAGAGGAGGGGCGGTGGCGGCCGGCGGCCGGAATCGTTTCCTGGGTAAGCGCAGCGGGCTGGGAAGCGTTTCCGGAAGGCTGGCCGCATCCCGCAGCGGCTACGGGCGCCTCCGGGGAGGGCGGCGGAGCGGAGCGGAGCGGTGGGCAGGTGCGCTCGGCGGCGGGCCGGGAGGGAGGAAGAAGGGCGGGCAGCGCAGCGCAGCGTGTCCCGCGGCGGAGCCCTCGGTGCGCGGCCGCCCGCGGTGCCGCCGCCCCGGCCCGCTGCCCGAGGGAGCGGGCAGGAGGCCGAGGGAGGGTCCCGTTGCCCTTGCCCGGGGCGATTCCGGCGCATCCCCGCCTGGAGGGTGCGGGGCCGGGGCCGGCCGGCGGTCCGCTGCCTTCCCCCGGCGTGCAGGAGCGCTGCGGTGCTGCCGCTGCTGCTGCAGAGCTGGCTCCAGCCTGGGGCGAGCGTGGGCTCTGCGCCCGCCGGCGGCGAATAGCAGCGGCAGCCAGTCTGGTTCTGCTGATGGTGGTGCGGTAAAAAAGCCTGAAAAGTGTCAAAAGTGCCTGTAGAAGTACCTTTTAAAAATTATTATTGTTATTGGAACGGGCTTTTGTGAGTTCAGCTCTGCGATTAAATCGTAGTCGAGGGTTGCACGCGGGGTTGCAAATGGGAGCGTGCAAAAAAATACAGTCTTTGGAACAGAACATGGACTCCATGAATCCCACTTGGAAGTTCTCACGAATTTGCTTGGGTCCCAAGGCAGCGACAGAGCTACTTCTGCTTGCAGCTAGAGAGAGAGTGAATTCAGACAGATAAAATGGAAAGTGTAGCGGTTTGTATTTGTACTTCGTTGCTTTGCCTGCTTGTTTGCAATGATTTTTAATTCTTGGGTGGGCTTCTGCTTGCTGGGAAGGACAAGTGTAGTTCTTGGCTTTAAACTCAAAATAACTAAAATGAAGAAAAAAACCCAACCCTGAAGTGGTGATGGGCTTGTAGGCTTTTTGCATTGTGGATGCTGTTGGTAGCTGTACATGGTAAATGATATCTGCAATCAGTTGTGCAGGATGACAGTATCTGCAGCAAGTTTCAATGCTTCACTGAAGGTCTGCTGTGTTGCCCCAGAAGCTGAGGTGTGGGTTGCTGCTGAGCTGCTGCAGCTTTGCTGTGTCCTCTGGCTCAATGGTGTGTTCCTCTAGTTCATTCTAGATCTGACATGTCATCGTCCTGCCATCTTATGCTCTAGTATGTTCTGAAAGATTGAATGAGTTGTCTGCCTTATGTTTAAAACTATTTTCTGCCTGCATAATTGCATTTAGTTAAAATAAGTGTGCAGATGTCCTAGCACTTAAAGGGAGAAACATCCTCTTATGGTGACCTTGGGACAAAATCTTGGCTGATTAATTTCCTTGCCTGGAACAGTCATATGGAGTGTGGGTATTTTTGTTCTTCCTTTACTTTACAGCAATGAGTGTTTGATGGAATACTTTTTGGCTTGTATTTTTGGGGTTTTTTTTGCCACCTAGGGGAAATTGAGATCTGGAGAGGACTCTTTGTGATGAAGAATAATTTTTTCATGTATTAGGAAGAATATGTAACTTGGTAGTAACAAGATTCTTGGCTCTGAAACAGCATGAGTGAATGTACCTTTCCCAGCAAGAGTCATCTAAGCAGTAGATTACAACTGTGGGAATAATTTGCTGGGAAATGGAATGCATGACTTGGAAACCTCTACTATTTCTTTTGTTTTTCAGTTCTGCAACTAAGTTGGGAACCAGTGACAAAACTGGTCGTTTTTGGTGTGGTGTTGAGTAGGCTGTGCTGTGTTCTTCCTCAGGAGGGATGGTGACTTCCTTAGGAAATGCCTGAGGAGCCTAGAAAGGTCTGCTGCAGGGTTTAAGCTGAAGAGAGTGGTTACTTCAGGAGCTAGATAAAGGGGAATTTGAATACTTCAGATTGCCTACTGTAAGAATTTTTTAGCAGAAATTGTGAAAAACTAAAATGAATCCCGGTAGTTGGTAGGTTGTGGTGAGCAATCAACTGATTACATCTCCATCAGATAGCAAGCTCTGACCTAGGATGTGTGGTCACACTTGAACAAATCATCTGTGCTGAAAGCAAACTGTATGTATTCCACTTGCTGGTGGAAGACAAAGTCTTGCCTTTGTTCCCTGCTGCAAGCAGGGAGATCCATTACTGAGAGTGGTAGAGCAGGGCATGTGCTGGGTGCATTGGATCATTGTGGATCAAGCTGCTGCTGCCTTGCTGCTGTGGAGAAAGTAAAGGTAATGGTAGAGTGTGTTTGGCCAGGACACTGGCAGGAGGGGGGGTGGGATGGGTGCAAGCTCCTAGAGAGTGCCAGGCACAGGTTCTCTCACCTGTGCTGTGGGTGGGACAGGTGCAGACTGAAGCTGGAGAACAGAAATGCCTCCTATTCCATAGGACATGAGGAAAGCCCAGCTTGTTTAGCTTAGCAAATGAAGCCTGAGAGGGAATATGATTGCAGTCTGCAAATACAGCAGGGGTATAAACACTAGAAAGGGCAAGGAGCTATTTAAGCTAAAGAACAATGTTGGCATGAGAACAAATAGATATAAACTGGCATGAATAAACTTAAGTTGGAATTTACACAGTTTCTTCCCTAAATGGACTGAGGTTCTAGAACTACCTTCAAGTGGGATAAATGGAAGCAAGCCCCTTAACTGGCTCTTGAGGATATACTGAGGAAGTCTGTATTGTGTCCTTGGCTGTTGCAGTAGGAAATAAGGCTTGGTGACTCAGGAAAAGCTTTTCCGTATGTCTGAGTTAACATAGATTTTCTGCGCTAGAGTTTCTTATTTTTAAAACCTGACATTCAAAACTGGCATAAAAATGCTTGCTTTACAATTTGTATTGCTGCATAGAAAGAATTGCAGTGTGCTTAGTGGCGACTTTCTGAAATGTTTTGCATGTTAGTTTTTTCCCCCTCTGCAAAATAATGTGTTGTCTAACAGCTGCATGTAATTGTGTGGAAAATCCTTTTTCTTTAAATCAAAACTGTGCAAAAGAAGACTGTATGTTTGTGCGTGTGAGCTGCTTGAGCTTACTAACCTTCAGGTTAAAAAATGAACTGCAGCAAACCTCCCTCCCATATAAGTAATTCATAAATCCTCTCAAGAAAGATAAAAAAGCAGTTCTTGGGGGGCTGTACAGCAGACTCAGATGCTGTGGACTGAGACCTGTGCTCCAAGCTATGCTGTGACTGGAAGACTGGAATAAATGAAGTTAAAGCAAATTTGAAAACAAGTCTGGTTGAGCTAGTTGTGCATGGGATTTGTCTCAATTTGCTGTCATGCAGAATAGCTGAGTTATCTGGCATGGTGGTTGCAGTAGTTGAACTTGTATAAAGCCTGTAGTTGACTCTAAAAATATCGTGTGTGCAGCGTGGAATACAACCAGCTGTGGATGCTGTATAATGGGTACTGTGACTGGCAGCAGTACCTGACTGCTTCTCAGAGATGTAGTAAGTATAGAAATGAAAGAGCAACTATTATGGGCCAAAGCAAGGGTCTCTTGCCATCAGGAGGGATGAGGGGCTCTTTCTTGCTGACTTATACTTTAGGCTGATCTATTCCCTGCTGAAATCAAATGTGAGAAAATAATGGAGAGGTGGAAATGGGTACATTTATGATGTGCTTCTTTGACTCCATGACTCACATCCCTTTTGCAGGGAAAAGGAGACCTTGGGACATGTATAGCTAATGCATGAGGCTACAGTTCCTGTTCTTGCTCCTCCAAAGCCTCTTCCTGAGCTTACAGGTGGTTTTTTTTTTATTTATAGCTTTCCTATCTGGTACCCTGCAAAGGAATGGGATCTTCTTGTCAGTCTCCTCCTGCCTCTCTCCGTGGGCTGGTGGGATCCAGACTCAATGACCAGTATCTTGGCACCTCTGTGCTCTGTGCCTGTTTCTCTTTCCTTGTCTCAGTATGGCTTTGTGCAGGCAGAGGAGTAATCCATGCTGTCCCCAGAGATTTAAGGAGCAGAGGGTGTTGTTGGGATGCTCTGTGTGGTGTCCTGCTTTAGTTTCCTAATTTTTTTTTTCCTTCTTCAGCCTGCTCCCTTTTTAATTTGTTGTTTTCTACAACATTTCTTTTTTTTTTCCCTCTCCATGTAAGTGGATATCCAAGGAAAAATAAGAACAGGATGCCCTTATTCAAAACCTCCTCTATAGATACTCTCTGAACCTCTCTCTGTTCTCAGCTTGGCATTGCCAGAGTTAGGTGCAAACTTTCCCTGTTTCAAAACATTTTTGGTTCCAAATGCATATCTGCTCTGTCTGCAGCCTCCTGGGACTTCGTTGCAGCCTCTATGGCCTTTGGCCAGGAGTGCTGCTTCTCTGTGGGTCTGCTTCTGGCTGTGTAAGGAATTCCCTCCTTCTGCTTGGCTTCCTTCATGTGGTGACTCTTAGCTCTTCTGTGGCAGAGGTGGTTAGTGATCCTGTACTTATGCCATTCAGGATTTTGTAGGCCTCTGTATTCCTCATCAAGTTGCCTTTTGACCTGCCTGAAGAATTGCCTACTTGGATATTCTTTGTCTGGAAGCCATTCTGGACCACGAGCAACCTCTTCCAGAAGTTGATCCTAGTTCTGCTTGTCACTTTAGGATGGGAGGATCAGGGCTGTATACAGTTTTCAACATGTAGGTGAGCTTTGGGGCTATACAGGGAAATAACCATGTTTTGGTTTCTTTCTTAGTGATTTGTAATGTTTGATTTGCTTTTTGGAGATTTGCTAGAGAGTTAATTTCTTGAATCTGTGAAACTGAAATGTCAAGATGTTTTTTAGGAGTACGGTCAGTTTGGAATCCCACAGTGACGTATAGACATGGTCGTGTCTTTCCCATGTGCATCTTCTTACATTTCTTGTGTTTATTTGCATTAGCTTTCCTCTGCACCCTTATTGACTCAGTCTCCCAGAGGAGACTGTGCAATTCTTCACATCCTGGCCTTTCTACCATAATACGTTTTTTTATCATCACACTTCCTCGACTCACTGTTCATCCGCCTTTCCTTGTCTCACATGAATGTGTCAAGCAGCCAAAGCCTGAGCATATGTCTCTGCCAAACTTCATTGGTAACTTCTGTTCATTCAAAGAAGAGACAGTTTACTCTTACCCTTATCCTCCTATT